CCCCCCCCCACCCAGGTCTCTCCACTTCTCACTCACCATTTGTAATCGCCGTTTCAGTGAACTTCCTGGGCACAATTTTCTCCCTCCTCCCCTCTCCACCCCTCCACTCTTCTGTAAGATGATGATCTTGTTGTAACTGTACAAGGTGTTGATGAGACTGCGGAGACTGGAAGACAGTGGACATTGTAGGTCTCTGTGGGACTGGTTTAGTTTGGGAAACATGGTCAGCATGAATTGGTTGGACCGAAGGGTCTGTTTCCGTGCTTTATGACTCTATGGCTAGCAATTCAGAGATTTAATGCCCTGGGAACATGGACAAAACATGTGTACTCCATATTTATGTTGAACTTTTATAAACCCAAGTTACACCACAACACGTGTGTGTCGCTGGCTAGGCCAACATTAATTGCCCAGAGGGCAGTTGAGATTTAACCACATTACTGTGGGTCTGGAGTCACATGTAGGCCAGACCGGGTATGGATAATAGTTTCCTTCCCTAAAGGTCATTAATGATCCATCGAGTTTCTCCGACAATCGGCAAAGGATTCATGGTCATCATTAGATTCTTAATTCCAGAATATCATTGAATTTAAATTTCATCATCTGCCGTGGCAGGATTTGAACTTGGGCCCCCAGAACATTACCTGAGCCTCTGAATTAACAGTCCAGTGATAATACCACTAGGCCATCACCTCCCCGAAGTATACAGGGACTCGCTGTTTCTATGGGCTAGGATGACACGTTTAAGGGTTAGGGCTATAAATACAGGAGGAATGTGAGGAAGACTGTTATTCCATAGTCAGCAACACTGTCTGATGCAGCATGTGTGGTGGAAATGGAGTTAATGAATGATTAAAAAGGAATTTGAATAAATGTTTGAGTGAAATAAGCCTGTAGGACATGAGGGTAGAGCAGCAGCGTGGAGTGAGTGGGATTATTTGTACCACAGCTGGCATGGATCGAACCGCTCTCTTCTGTACCCTATAACTCTATAAAGATCAAACGATAGCTTATGAAGGAAGTCAAGAAGGTAAAATCACAATGGTCTGAGGACTTAGAGAGTGACAACTGGTGGTGGTTTAACCTGAAGGTCACCATGCCTCAGCCTAGGGGAGAGGTTGAGAAGGAGAGTCCTTCATGGTAACCTCAGCTGGTAGTGGGAAATGAACCCACCCTATTGGTATTACTCTGCATTGCAAACCAGCTCTCCAGCCAACTCACCAATTTACAATCTACATTAGTGACTTGTACAAAGTGACAGAAAGTAATGTGCCTAAGTTTGCTAAAGATAGAAAGTTGGGTGGGATTGCATGCTGTGGGGAGGATACAAAGGAAGTTAGACAGGTGAAGTGAGTAAGCAGTAAGGTGGCACATGCAGGCTGAAGGCTAATGAAGATGGACTGGGACTGGACCGGATGCAAAGGAGATCCAGTAGGTTGATTCTGGAGTTGAGAGGGTCGGCTTATGAGGAGAGGTTGAGTAGATTGGGGACTATTACTCATTGGAATTTAGAAGAATGAGAAGAAATCTTATAGAAACATATAAAATAATGAAGGGAATAGAAAGGATAGAAGCAGGGATGTTGTTTCCACTGGCGGGTGAAACCAGAATTAGGGGGTGTAGCCTCAAAATAAGGGGGATCAGATTTAGGACTGAGTTGAGGAGGAACATCTTCACTCAGAGGGTTGTGAATCTGTGGAATTCCCTTCCCAGTGAAGCAGTTGAGGCTACCTTAATGAATGTTTTTAAGATAAAGATAAATAGATTTTTAAACAGTAAAGCAATTAAGGGTTATGGTGAGAGGGTGGGTAAGTGGAGCTGAGTCCATGAAAAGATCAGCCATGATCTTATTGAATGGCAGAGCAGGCTTGATGGGCCAAATAGCCTACTCCTATTGCTTATGTTGTTATGTGTGTGGTATTCACTTTGGTAAGACGAGAAAAACAGCATATTTTTCTTAAATGTAAATGTAACTTATAAATCTTGATGTTCAGAGGGAGTTGGCTATACCTGTCCAAGGTACACAGAAAGTAAGCGTGCAGCCAGTTTCGAAATCAAATGATATATCGGCTATTATTGGCAAGAGAATGGAGGCTACAAGAAGATAGGGCTCTCTGAGGGGAGTATGCCTGGAATATTGTGTGTTCCGTACTTGTGAGAGGATCTAGTTGTGTTGGAGGTAGTACAGCGAAAGGTCGGTCCTTTAGATGAAAAGGTTGTTCTGTGATGAGTGACTGAGTTAATTGCGTTTATATTCTCAAACTCGAGGAATAACCCCATTTTCCACTGGGGCATTTTTTAGCCTCAAAGTCTCAACATTGAATCCAATAATTTCAAAAACTGGCTGCATTGTTTCAGTTCTCCATTTTTCCTACTCTCTGCCTCCACCCCACAGCCACGTTACCCCTATGTCTTGTTTCCTTCACATTTATAGAATGGATCAATTCTATCCCTTTCTGAGGAAGGGTCACCAGACCCGAAACGTTAACTCTGTTTATTCCTTCACAGATGCTGCCAGACCTGCTGAGCTTTTCCAGCAATTTCTGTTTTGTTTCCTATCCCTTTCACACCTGAGTTTATATCCTTCTTACACTTTCTTCTTTCCGCACTATGAACAATCCTTTCCTCTTTTGCTCTTCTGCCTTCTTGTTCCTCCTCTGCCTCTTTCAAAATTATAAAAAAGAGACTATTTTCCAGCCTCCTTCAGTTCTGAAGAAAACTCAGAACATTCACTCTGTTCCTCTCTCCAAAGTTGCTGCCAGACCTGCTGAGATCCTCCAACTTTCTCTGTGTTTGTTTCAGATCTCCAGCATCCACTGTATTTTGCTATTTTTATAGTCTCTGGGGTTTAAAAGGACAAGGGGTGATCTCAGGGAAACTCACAAGATTCTGAGCTGGGCACTAAGAGGCTGTTTCCCATCCCCTGGGGCTGGGCAATCTACGATGTGGCACTCACAGTTTCAGGATGAGGGGCTGAGATCAGAAAAATGTTCTTCACTGAAGGGGTTGTGAATGTTTGGAATTCTCCGCTGCGAAGATTGGTGGACCCTCCAACATTGAGTATTTTTGTGGCTGGGATGGACAGATGTTTGCCCCAACAAAGAATCAAGGAAATAAAGAACAGCCAAGGAAGTGGAACATAGAACATAGAACATAGAACATAGAACAGCACAGTACAGGCCCTTCGGCCCACGATGTTGTGCCGAACTTTTACCCTAAACCTAAGGTCTATCTAACCTCCACCCCTACCTTATATTATCATCCATTTGCCTATCTAATAGCCGCTTAAATGCCCCTAATGAGGCCGACTCCACTACCCTCTCCGGCAATGCATTCCACCCCCTACCACTCTCTGAGTAAAGAACATACCTCTGACGTCTCCCCGATATCTACTTCCACTCACTTTAAAACTATGTCCCCTCGTAATAGCTACCTCCACTCTAAAGTGGAGTTGAGTCTGAATATCAGCCATGATTGTATTGAGTGTTAGAAGACCGTAAATGGGCGAAATAGTTCACTGCAGCTCCTATTTGTATCATAATTGCTGTGTTGTACAGAACTTTAAACATTGCTAAAAGGAAACAGAGGTCAGTTGAGGTTAACCAGTGAGCTAAGATTGACAGTGAACAGATCCAGTTGCGTCTCCATGCTAGCTGTGGTCTAACCAATCAGCACCTTGTTTTCAGGCTGTGTAAATTAGTGTTCCCTTTCCAGGTCTGGTTTCTTGTATTCTCGTCCTGGCGAGTGCAAGCTGTGACTTTGTGTTCCCTTGTGGTGATGTTTCTTGAATGTTGCTGCTGGATTTCTGCTCAGCCTCCCGTGTGAACACAGCTGATTGTTTCAGGCCCACTTGCCCCGGCAGAAATGAATTGAATTGTTTTCTAGCCCAGTTAATGGAGTGTCTCCCTCAGCAGCCTGAGGGGACATTCTGGTTCGGAGGAGACACCAGACTACACGCGGGGAGTGAAACCTCACTACCTTTCAAAAGTTCTTGGACGAGCGCTCAAAATATCATAACATTCAAGGCCTTGGGCCTAGTGCGGGAAAGTGGGACGAGTGTAGATTTAGAGTAGATTTTGTTATTGAGGACTCAATGAGCTGCAGGGCCACGTCTGTACTCTACAGTTCCAGCGCTGTGATCCTGCCTCTTTCATTAGTCTCAATCCCAGTGCAAAATGGTGTGTGATTTATCTGAGCAGGTTAAACGTTCAGTGATTGTGTTAATGTCTCTACTTAGGCTGGGCCACAAAGGCTGCTGTGTGGGACCTGGAACCTAGTTCCATTACAGTCTGTCATTATTCACCCCCAGGAGAACCCGGTTCTGAAAGGTGCTGCTGTGCACAGTTTGGCAACTGGATCGAAAAGTCATTACTGTCCCACATTAAAGAGAAAATCTCAGAACTTGTGTGTCTATGTATGTATGTGTGTCTGTGTTAGTGAGAGGGAGAGTGTGTATGTGTTTGTGTGTCTATGTATGTTTGTCTCTGTGAGTGAGAGGGAGAGTGTGTGTGTGTCTGTGTGTGTGTAGTGTCT